CAACACAATTCTGACGCATGAATACTGTGACTTGATGAATAATAGGAATGAATAGTTTCCTAATTGTTTTGTAGTTATTACCAAAGTAGACACCACTTAGTACCCACTGGCAGGCATATCAATCCACTTCAGATATATTTTACTTGAACTACTGGTTCCCCGCAGAGATGCACTCAGAGCCACTGGGGCCAAAGGCGGTAAGCAGTGCTCTGGCTCAGTGTCTGTATATCGGACACACCGCATCATATTCCACTACAGGCATCACAGGTTAGAGCGCCACCGAGGGTCACGGGGGTTTGAGGTCCTCTGAGAGCAGCCACAAATAGACAAACTATTGAATATTTTGGCGGTCTCCCATTACCCGATGACCTGCAGGGCTCCCCACCACCGGCAGTCCATTCATACTGCTGCAAGGTAAATGACAACTAATAGTATAATAGATTTTTCTTGGCAGCCTATATAGTTCTCACCAACCCAACTCAACGGGCTGCTTTTTGTTTCGTTTCCGTTTCATCAGCTGTGGGGTTCTGGGCTGGTATCCTATGGTTTACTAAGAAGAGAAACAGATTGACCACAGGATTGTATCAAACATCCAAATATTTTGTTCTAAAATGTCTGTTTATGTACACATTATTTCCCAAATGAAAGGTAAGTTTACTTATGTGATTTTAGATTGAGTTTTAACATACAAATGAAGACAATTGCCGGACAACTTATTTTCCCACCAGAGGCCTCCTGATTTAAAGTCACAAAGAGCACTCCATTCTGATGAATGTAAGTTGCATATTTTGGGGGGATGATTATTTTTTCTGTAACTAGTCAATTATTATTTCATTTGATATTGTATTACATAATGATCATTCAATTAGGACTAATGGTTATCGTTAGTCCTTGATTAGCAAGTGATATTATAGTGATTATTAAAGCGACAATCAGCAGTTGAAACAATAGCAAAGTGTTTTCCCCGCCACTGTTTTGGTAAAAAGCTGAGGGATGGGGCTGGAGAAATGTAACCACTCTCAAATTGATAGACAGAGCTATGGATGATAGGACTGAGCATCCATGATATCAACATTATAGTTGTAACCATGTTTTCAGGCTATACATTGTTTGTTTACCTTTACTCTGTTTACAAACATTGGAGTAAAACAAGCTTATATTTTGGTTTCTGATGGGGTACGACAGTTGAACTAAGCTCATGAGGCATTTAGAAGTTATATTCTTCAAGAATCAATGGGTACATATCATTAATTTATAAATCCCAAAATTGATGTAGGAACTGCAGATTGCCCCTTTTTATATCATAGTCATCATCAATTCTACTTTATAATAAAATTAAGCCTAGACTTTTTTCAGCCTCGTTTGTCCATAATGATTGCTATATTGTTTGTCCATGTATTATTATTGACCTCACCCTACATTTCATCTTGACATTCCACTTTCATAGTCTCTGCTTTTTAACATATACTTTTCCCCGTCAATTAGCAAAACCCGCGTGAAGATGGGAGATTGGAACTTCCTGGGTGGGATCTTGGAGGAAGTGCATATCCACTCCACCGTGGTGGGAAAGATCTGGCTGACCATCCTGTTCATCTTCCGGATGCTGGTGCTTGGCGTCGCTGCAGAGGACGTGTGGAACGACGAGCAGGCCGACTTCATCTGCAACACTGAACAGCCAGGGTGCCGCAACGTGTGCTACGACAGAGCCTTCCCCATCTCTCTCATCCGCTTCTGGGTTCTCCAGGTTATCTTCGTCTCCTCGCCCTCTCTGGTTTACATGGGCCACGCCATCTACCAGCTGCGAGCTCTGGAGAAGACACGCCACACTAAGAAGGCGGCTCTGCGTCGGGAGCTGGAGGTGGTGGACGTGGAGCTGATCGAGGTGCGGAGACGTATCGAGAGGGAGATGAGACAGCTGGATCTGGGGAAGCTCAACAAGGCCCCGCTGAGAGGGTCCCTGCTACGGACCTACGTGGCCCACATCGTCACCCGCTCTGTGGTGGAGGTGGGCTTCATGGTGGGCCAGTACCTCCTCTACGGCCACCAGCTGGACCCTTTGTTTAAGTGCGAGAGGGAGCCCTGCCCAAACGTGGTGGACTGCTTTGTCTCCAGGCCCACAGAGAAGACTGTTTTCATGATGTTCATGCAGGGCATCGCTGCAGTCTCCCTCTTTCTCAGCCTCTTGGAGATCATGCACCTGAGCTACAAGAAGCTCAAGAAGGGCATCCTAGCCTACCACCCACACCTCAATGATGACCACTACCATAGCAAATTGAAAATAAACTCTGACGTGAAACAGGTTAACATGGGGGGAACATCTGGGGGCCGCAAGCCTGTTATCCCCACCGCACCCAGTGGGTACACACTCCTGATAGAGAAGCAGGACAACGGACCGACGTACTCCCTCCTCAATGGATCCTCTACCTTTGTCCCCATTCAGATGGACCCTGGTGTCAAGCCAGGTACAGACAGCCACAATACAGCCAGTAATGAGGCAGTGTCAAGTCCTGAGCACAACAGCAACTCAAAGAACACCAGCCGTGAAACGACACGCTCTGCCCTTATGGACAAGAAGGATGAGCCAGAGGACCTTGTCGTGCATCCTCTCCCCCGCCACGTGGACTTCACAGGGTCACGGGGCTCTGTGTACCCCACCCTACCCGTGCTGCCCCTGGTGGATGCCTCCTCATGCCCGACCCTTTCGGTCATTGCGAGAAAACCACGGAGGGTCAGTGCCCCCTGGAACTGTTCCACCGTGATGGAGGGGAATGGCTCAGACAGTGGGGACTCCTTCCCTGGGACCATAAGCATGAAGCCACGCTGTAGCTTTGTTGCCAGCCAAGCCAGGGCTTTCTCTAAGCCGGACCTCAAGAGACTGAGCAGGCCCCAGAGCCCGGACTCAATAGGAGAACTGAGCTCAGTGTCTTGGCACAGCCCTCCTGTCTGCTCTCCCAACCGCCGAATGTCACTGGCAAGTAACAGCAGCAGCAGGCGAGCTCCAGGCTACCTGCAGATCTAAGGTTTATACCTTATCTCATCATGTCACAAGAAACTGTTACAGTGTTAGGCTACGCTTCAGGGTAACTGTTACAGTGTTAGGCTACGCTTCAGGTAACTGTTACAGTGTTAGGCTACGCTTCAGGGTAACTGTTACAGTGTTAGGCTACGCTTCAGGACACACTGTTACAGTGTTAGGCTACGCTTCAGGACACACTGTTACAGTGTTAGGCTACGCTTCAGGGTAACTGTTACAGTGTTAGGCTACGCTTCAGGGTAACTGTTACAGTGTTAGGCTACGCTTCAGGACACACTGTTACAGTGTTAGGCTACGCTTCAGGACACACTGTTACAGTGTTAGGCTACGCTTCAGGACACACTGTTACAGTGTTAGGCTACGCTTCAGGACACACTGTTACGGTGTTAGGCTACGCTTCAGGACACACTGTTACGGTGTTAGGCTACGCTTCAGGGCACACTGTTACGGTGTTAGGCTATGCTTCAGGGTAACTGTTACAGTGTTAGGCTACGCTTCAGGGTAACTGTTAGTGTTAGGCTACGCTTCAGGGCACACTGTTACAGTGTTAGGCTACGCTTCAGGACACACTGTTACAGTGTTAGGCTACGCTTCAGGACACACTGTTACAGTGTTAGGCTACGCTTCAGGGTAACTGTTAGTGTTAGGCTACGCTTCAGGACACACTGTTACAGTGTTAGGCTACGCTTCAGGGTAACTGTTACAGTGTTAGGCTACGCTTCAGGACACACTGTTACGGTGTTAGCTAAGTGTGATGTTTTTCTGTCAGTGAAGTTGAGTACACAGTATTAATGTTAAGATTAACTGCTGTGGGCCCAGGCCACAATGCATTTTGTTAGAGGCTGTTTAATACACCAAGTTTACACCTGTTATTTTCAGAAGACAAAAAGCAAAGCAGAATTTCGCATTGTAAAATACTTAGTAAATCTAGGTAAAAGACAACAGACATTGTTGACAGGTCTGTTTTAGTTCGAAGCACTTTCATTGCATTGCGTGCATATAAATGCAAGGCTTACAACAATGAACCAAGAGCAATGGAAAGCAGAATCAGAAAAGCTATATCCTTTAGGCCGTAATTCGCAATTATGTAACTCAAAACTCAATCAATGATATTCATTGGATAAAATAAGTTAAGTATGAAAAAGTTTCAAAGCATGATTTCCTCAATATTGTATTTAAGGTATTGTACTTTTAAAAAGCACAATAACCAAGTGAGTTTGACTTTACAAGTTAAATTGGTGGCTGGAGCTCACTAGCTACCAATCTAATCAGAGGACATTTTGCCAGTGACATAACAACGATCTATTTTAGTATCAGTCCAATTCACAGTTTCTTTACTCATGATATAGGCTACTGGCCAACTTTATTTAAACTATCCACTATAATAACAAAGCAACAGCTTATTTCAGTTCAACTATAATTGAACTACTACTTCAATGTAGACTTTGGCTAAACCAGTTACATAATATTTACAACTTGTTCTGTTTTCTTTCAGGTCGCGGTACTGCAGATGTCCTCCATCCTGAAAAAGCATTGATATTATTGTGGCCCAAAGCCCACTAATCATTTGACAATGTAAATTATACATATTGATGGGGAGGAAATGGGACTGATTTTGTATAGGCCTATTCCTTATATGAAATTGTACTACGTCATACATTGATTTGTATATTCACAATTGTATAATACATTTACTTTATAAAATAAAGTACAAATATGATTTAATTACTACTGAGATGATCTTTTAACACAACTAATTTGCCAAGACATAAAACTATAAATCCAAACAGGAACAGGCAAGAACATTGGCTTTGAATGCAAACCCCATACTAGGCCAGAAGTAGCAGGCCTGTTGTCACGGTGACCCTGTGTGTCACGGTGACCCCATTTAAATAAATAGGCAAGGATCAGTTTGGAATTCCATCTAGAGAGACATCAACACAATAACTTTGCATGAGGAATATTTGCTGAAATTAGTATTTATTGACTTGAAATTGGAGAGAAATAGTTTACGCTTTAGATTGAACAAGTGTCTGTACACAGAAAATATTACTTAACAAAAATACATTGCTTTTGCAATTCACAGTTCTTCCATCCTTGGGTATAGTGTTATATACTACTACTAAGAAATAATAGCTTTATAAGTGCCTTTTTCCTCAAAACAGTGGACAAAAATAACAATTCAACCAACTCCGTTACTCCGCTGCTTCATCCTCGGGTGCTGGTTCATACTGCAGAAGCTGTAAAACAAGGTAGAGAAAAGTTGGGTATTTGCAACGTACTGAGATTAGATATTTTGGGGTATTTGGGGGTGGTTTCCGTGTAGCTCAGTTGGTAGAGCATGGCGCTTGCAACGCCAGGGTTGTGGGTTCGTTTCCCACGGGGGGCCAGTATGATAAATGTATGCACTCACTAACTGTAAGTCGCTCTGGATAAGAGCATCTGCTAAATGACTAAAATGTAAAAATGTAAAATGTTTCCCCAGATACAGATTAAGCCTAGTTCTGGACTAAAAACGAGATCAATGGAGAATTTAAACTTAATCTGGGTCCGGGAGACCACCCCTTGAATTTTGGAAAAAAATAATAAATTCTCTGACCCTGTTTCTGAGGTCTTTGTTTTCCTTCATGAGCAGATCCCACTTCTGCTGTAGCTCAGTCAGCTCCAGACGAAGGGCCTCCGCATCTGCTGGCTCAGCACCAGCCACACCAAGGTGATGCTTTAGAAAGCTGGGGTTTAGGTGAAGGCTAGTGTAAACTATTTTTGTTGTTGTCGATAGCTACGGTGAACAAGAAGTGATTGAGATGGGGCGATAGAGGAGAGCTGCTGGTGCATAGAATGGAAAGTGGCGCAATCAGGGTTTGAACCCATGCATCCAGAGGCAATATTTGTCCCAGGGGCGGCAGCACTACCACTCGGCCAGCCACGGCACACCCTAAACTCTCTTTAAAGACCCAGTGCAGTCAAAAATGTGATTGTCCTGTGCTTTATATATATATATATATTTCCACACTATGAGATTGGCATAATACTGTGAAATTGTGAACATTATGATAATGGCCTTTTAGTGTAAGAGCTGTTTGAAAAGGCTGCCTGGAATGTCAGCCTGTTTTGGTGGGATGGTTTTGGCCTGCCTGGTGACATCACCAGGCGGTAAATTAGTTAATAGACCAATAAGAAAAAGAGCCTTTAAAAGACATCACATGCACAACGACAATTTTAGGTGCGGCTGTTGTAATGTACACAAAGTCTACCCTTGATCGTTTTGCACCAGGGGGGCAGTAGTCATCAGATTTCAGTCAAGGTATTTTCTCTGCCCAATGCTATGAGTGACTACCTGAATCAGCAAGCACCATCTGCATCAATGGGATCAGTTGAGATGGTGGTCATGGTTGTTGTCATCATATCGGAAAATTATCAAACCAAGGCAAAAGGATACTCCAAAGCATTATTAGGTTTCTCTGTCTCTTCGTACAGGGCCACCAATACTGCAAACAGCAATACAAATGTTATAGACATTAGTGGTGATATGTGAGTCAAAGTTTTTGTTATAGACCAGGGGTGTCAAACAGATTTTGCCCCGGGGGCCGCATTCGCTCTTCAACAAGGTCCGGGGGCCGCACTGAAAAAAAATTTGTAATCTCTACCATCGTTTTTTGAATTTTCTATTCTCCCTGACTGTCTAGCTTTCATTTCTGTGATTATAGGGAGCTGGACAAAGTCAAGAAACTGTATGAATGTAGGTGCATTATCATTTATACACAGTTGCGATTTGGTTTTTGTCCTTTTTTTGTCATTTGATTCCTGTAAGTCGATCTGGATAAGATTGTCTGCTAAGTGACTAAAATGTCAATCTAAAATGTTAAAGTGTATTGAGTTTTTTTCTAACTCAAATCACGTGCGGGCCAGATTGGACATCCTCGCCTATGTTTGACACCCCTGCTATAGACTATGCAAGTGGTTAGGATTTGGAATCAAAATGATGAACATGAGGTACAAAATCAAAGTATACCGCATGAGAAACTTTAGACTTTATGCATTTTAAATAAACTTTGCCAGTAATGTTCTTGAATTTATGAAAGAGGCCTACCATTGGTGAGACTGTCAAGAACTCCAGCTTTTTCTAGATACCTTCTAAATTGTTCTCTCTTGGATTCTGAAGCCTGTGAAAGAAACGATGACGAGAAGAATCAGAAGACTAACAAAACATATTTACATAGGCTATTTAAAGCTGTAGCTAGATAGCTCTACTTCAGTTTCTTTTGACAGTTTCCAAGGCAGGTAAGCAGAGTACAACAAATATGCCTGGTTGACCATAAAGTTGGAAAACGAATTGTTTAACTAGCTCAACCATACTGCTGATTCCAATGAATGAGAGCTACCCTAGATACAAAGTAATCGATGAATGCAATGCAGTTTGCTAACGTTAGCTAGTTACAAAGTAACAAGTGAAAAAACATAGGACATGAAATAAACATCTTCAAACCACTCGTGTTGGAAGTTCATTGAAGAAAAGTTTCGTATACTTACTCTGTAATGGGCCATTATTGCCAACAGATATGTAGCGTTATGATGACTAAAGTTAGTAAACTAGCTAGCTATCAACGGAACAGCTGATCAGACAACACCTTGAGCGTGACTGCAACAAAGCAATTTCTCTCACAGTTTGAACGGTTGCTATAACGACAAACGACAACAAAATAATTAGCTGAACTGTGTGATAAAATCTCAATGATTGATGAAGTTCTAATACGACGATAATGATGCACTTTTCTATACTCTGTCGGTTACTTTACTATTTGTTATTCAATAATTGAAACTGAAACTGAGCTACTTGTGTAAAGGCATTAGGCAAACCCTATATATTTGGCGCCATCTCATGGCCATGTAGTGAAACCAGTGTTTGGCGGGAGAACCAATGAGATTGAGGGGGCGGGGAAAATACAGTTTATGGCGGAAATTAGACGAAACCGGCTAGTTGTCACTAGTTACCACAGCCACAATGTCAAAAATGGGCTATATCGAAAAATGTCATGTTAGGCATAAGGTTAGCAGTGTGATTAAGGTTAGGGTTAAACAGCGCACTTGCACTTGATATGCGTTTTTAGGCTATGAATGAGAAAGTGAATTTGTCATTTCCAAACGTTTAGCTCAGTTGTATGCTGCTTTGCGATCTATTAACAGCAAGGGTTGCATTAAATAGGCGCAATATTTTTTAATGCTGCATTTGGCAATGCTCAATTCATTCGTACGTTGCGTATAAACAAAAACATTCACTGTGAAAGTTGATACATGTAGGCCCTTCATATATAGGCTATGCGCAGCACTTTGTTCAATTGATCAAATCAGTTATTGTTTTCTTGCTCAAACCGCGAGCAACACCTGTCAAATTCAGACATTTCTCTCAAAACACAGGGATGTCGATTCGCACGGGACTAGTATTATCAGAGGACCTAATGACAGATTTGGTGTTTTGTGCTCGTCCACATAATTACATTACCCGACCTCCCCAGTAAAACGAATCCCGTCCGAATAGGGCTTTATATCCTGTTTCCTAGTCACTTTACCCCTATACACATCTACCTCCATCACTCCAGTATCCCTGCACATTGTAAATACGGTATTGGAACTGACCCTGTGTATATAGTATGCTTACTTACTTATTGTGTTCTTCATATTTCTCATTTCTCGTGTTTTTTTTCTTCTTCTAGTTTTACATTGTAATTGATAATTGCATTGTTGGGTTTTGAGTTTACAAGAAAGGCATTCCACTGTACCTGTACATGTGACATTAAAACTTGAAAATAGGCGGGGTTTAACCATCATTATTACTGTGATAACTACTGTCGACCCTAATTGACAAGCTAACACTTGGGGTGTTTGGAAGCACAGTTTACATTTTTTTTTTACTTCGGCACTAAAATGCTGGTATTTATTTCGTAGTGAATACACCATATAACAACAGCACTATCGTCTATTTTCAAGTCACGACTTGGTTGTCAACTAAACCAGTGCTAGCTAGTTACCTGGGTAGCTAGGCTAGTTAGCGCTAACACTAACAGGCTAGCTAGCTAAACAGGGTTGAATTTGACCAGTGGATTTAACAGCTGCTAACGTTGATTAGCTGGCAGATTTGAGGCAAAATGTCGGTTCAGTACGAAGAGCCTGCGCTGGCAGGGAGCTATGGTGTTGTACAATCTTTCCCATAGTATTTTGGGATATCGAGAACACGTCAGGTGACAGTAAACCAAGGATTGCGGAGAAGTGGGAAATCGTCCATTCGAAAGGTTTGTTGTGTTCCTATTAGTTCAGGTAGCACAATAAGCCACTGCATCTGTCCACTTCTGTGCATCATTGCCGCCTGGTCATACTAACTATAATGTTTATGCATGGAAAACGACTCAAATGGATAAACTAACTAGTCAAGTCATCCACACTAAAAGGCTCTACATTGTTAATCTGACGTCTGAAGTGGCCGTACAGCATTTACTGCGATGCAGACGTGAGGGCTGTCATACTTCTTACGCTTAGCGGAGCAGAACTATTGTGAAGTGAGTTTGCGTTTGTACAGGACGTACAGCCCCCACCTACCGTCAACCAATCATGTCAATGCGGAACTATACGGAGCCCTACACATTGTAACAACATTTGAGAGGGCACAGCAATGCTGTACAGAGCTTGATTTGGCCACTGCATGTCAATTGCGTCACACCCGCTCTACGAAGCCTCCGTCCACATTTGTGTCAAGCATAAATTGGCTTTTATAGTGTTTATTGTGCGCCACTATCCAGGTTGTATTCCACAAGATGTCGCCAAACGAGACACTGTTCTTGGAGAGTGCCAACAAAATCTACAAGGATGACATCTCCAGCAGCTCTTTCGTCAACTTCCAAATCTGGGACTTGCCTGGTACTGTGGACTTCGACCCTACCTTCAACTATGAGATGATCTTCAGGGGTGCGGGGCTTTGATCTTGTCACAGGGGTGCAGGGCTTTGATCTTGCAGGGCTTTGATCTTGTCACAGGGGTGCAGGGCTTTGATCTTGTCTCAGGGGTGCGGGACTTTGATCTTGTCACAGGGGTGCGGGGCTTTGATCTTGTCACAGGGGTGCGGGGCTTTGATCTTGTCACTGATGCTCAGGTGAGACGATTAGAGGACAGTTAGATGTTGCCCTACCCACGGCAAACATCGAGAAGGCTGCACAGCCTACAGTTTCACAGATTTGTATGTATTCAAAAAATAAGCGGCTGCAATGTCTCTCCTCTGCTTAGAGGGTTTTGTCTTTATTCTCTCTTGGTTTCATCAGGATGATTACGTGGAAGCTTGGGAAGGCTTCATCTCAGTGTCCGGAGCCTACAGGTTCAACCCAGAGATCAACTTTGAGGTGTTTTTATCCATAAGGTTGATGGCCTGTCAAGACGATCACAAGATAAAACCCAAAGAGACCTCCATCGGAGAGCCAACGATGACCTAGCAGATGCCAGCCTGGAGAAGCTTTACCTCAGGTTAGTGCAAAGGACAATAATAATATGCCATTTAGCAGACGCTTTTATCCAAAGCGACTTACAGTCATGCGTGCATAATTTTTTTTGTGTATGGGTGGTCCCGGGGTTCGAACCCACTACCTTGGCGTTACAAGCGCCGTGCTCTACCAGCTGAGCTACAGAGGACCAGACACGACAAGACAAGACACAACATAACGAATGTCAGCCGTGCGCAGTGGAATCGTAATCGTAGATCACCTGCTGGGTGTCGACAAACTGTGGTGATTCAACACGAAGAATCGTAAGGGAAATTAACCGTAAATTACAGCTGATGTTCTGTGGTCAGAGGAGATAGGAAGGACAACCGCTGTTTTTAACCATTTGTCGGAACGATCTGTTTTGTCCTTAATTGGTGGTGGGTTAGGTATGTGGCCCAATGTCACTCAGAGGGATCAGCTTGTTTTTGGCATAACAAGTTGGGAGAGGAACTGTTAGATACAAGACATGTTACTGTTTTCTCAATTCTCTCTCTTTCTCTGTTTCAGCTTTTATTTGACCAGCATCTATGACCATTCCATATTTGAGGCTTTCAGTAAAGTGGTCCAGAAGCTCATTCCTCAGCTACCAACATTGGAAAACCTACTGAACATTTCAATATCACTATGTCTTTTTTGATCATTTCAATAAGCTAATTTGAACTGATTCTTCTAATTTTGTCAAAACTTTGTTTATTTTTGGACAGAACTCGGGGATTGAGAAAGGCTTCCTGTTTGACGTGGTCAGTAAGATCTACATCACCACCGACAGCTCTGCTGTGACATGATCTATGTTGTAATCAACGTTTCTTGTATCTATGGGTGAGAGAGAAGAAAATCATATGCCATATATTTCCAAATGTGTGTATTGGACATATATTAGTGGTCTGTTCATAAAATTACATTGTTCATGCTTGGGATTGTATGTGCAAATCATTGAAATCGACCACTCAGTGAATATGCATCACTGCCTGGCGCTGTATTCGTTTGAAGCATGAGGTAAGGATGCTTTTGTTATTGTAGAGGTTGACGAGGAATCGTAGATTCCTGTGATTATGAAAAGCTATAATGGAGAGCTTAGAGTTTATTTCGTGATTGGAAAAAGTGAATTGCTTTTCCTTTGTGGTCTTCCATTGCACCTGAGGGAAGATGGAGGTGTCAGTGCCTATGATAAGTAGTCTTTAGCCATCATTAAGGTCAACAACACCACCGTATTCTGCCTGAAAGTGGTCACCTGGCCCTCGCCTGCATCCTCATATGAGGAGAGCTTTGAAAGGAAAGGTGAGTGAAAAGTCTGGCACCATTTGTAGAATTGTACTATTTGCAGTGCATTCGGAAAGTATTCAGACCCCTTGACTTTTCCCACATTTTGTTACGTTACAGCCTTATTCTAAAATGGATTACATTGTTTCCCCCCCCCCCTCATCAATCTACACACACTACCCCATAATGACAAAGCAAAAAGAGGTTTTAATAATTTTTTTGCAAATGTATAAAAAAAAACCCCCCGGAAATATTACATTTACATAAGTATTCAGACCCTTTACTCAGTACTTTGTTGAAGCACCTTTGGCAGCGATTACAGCCTCGACTCTTCCTGGGTATGACGCTACATGCTTGGCACACCTGTATTTGGGGAGTTTCTCCAATTCTTCTCTGCAGATCATCTCAAGCTCTGTCACTGCACAGCTATTTTCAGGTCTCTCCAGAGATGTTCGATTGGGTTCAAGTCCGAGCTCTGGCTGGGCAACTCAAGGACATTCAGAGACTTGTCCCAAAGCCACTCCTGCGTTGTCTTGGCTGTGTGATTAGGGTCGTTGTCCTGTTGGAAGGTGAACTTTCGCCCCAGTCTGAGGTCCTGAGTGCTCTGGAGCAGGTTTTCATCAAGGATATCTCTGTACTTTGCTCCATTCATCTTTAACTCGATCCTGACTAGTCTCCCAGTCCCTGCAGCTGAAAAACATCCCCACAGCATAATGCTGCCACCACTATGCTTCACCGTAGAGATGGTGCCATGTATCCTCCAGACGTGACATTTTGTATTCAGGCCAAAGAGTTCAATCTTGGTTTCATCAGACCAGAAAATCTTGTTTCTCATGGTCTGAGAGTCCTTTAGGTGCCTTTTGGCAAACTCAAACCGGGCTGTCATGTGACTGAGGAGTGGCTTCCGTCTGGCCACTTTACCATAAAGGCCTGATTGGTGGAGTGCTTCAGAGATGGTTGTTCTTCTGGAAGGTTCTCAAATCTCCACAGAGGAACTCTGGAGCTCTTTCAGAGTGACCATCGGGTTCTTGGTCACCTCCCTACCAAGGGGATGTTTTTTAGCGGCACGGACTGGGAGACTAGTCAGGATCGAGGCAAAGATGAACGGAGCAAAGTACAGAGAGATCCTTGATGAAAACCTGCTCCAGAGCACTCAGGACCTCAGACTGGGGTGAAGGTTCACCTTCCAACAGGACAACGACCCTAAGCACACAGCCAAGACAACGCAGGAGTGGCTTTGGGACAAGTCTCTGAATGTCCTTGAGTAGCCCAGGCAGAGCCTTGACTTGAACCCGATCTAACATCTCTGGAGAGACCTGAAAATAGCTTTGCAGCAACACTCCCCATCCAACCTGACAGAACTTGAGTGTATCTGCAGAGAAGAATGGGAGAAACTCCCCAAATACAGGTGTGCCAAGCTTGTAGCGTCATACCCAAGAAGATTCGATGCTGTAATCGCTGCCAAAGGTGCTTCAACAAAGTACTGAGTAAAGGGTCTGAATACTTATGTTAATGTGATATTTCCGTATTTTACAAAGCATTCTAAAAAATCTGTTTTGGCTTCGTGATTGTGTTGAGTAATGAGGGAAAACAATGTTTTAATCCATTTTAGAATAAGGCTGTAACGTAACAAGATGTGGAAAAAGTCAAGGGGTCTGAATACTTTCCGAAGGCACTTCAGCGAAGACTACCCAGCTCCAGCAGAAGAGGTATTGTATACCATAGCTATGATTGGCCAGGTTTGATCCTGACCTAACCAATAGGAAATGCTACCCACCCGGCCAGGTTGACAACTCCATGTGGGATGCCCGTGGGGGTGTTGAAGGCAGCAGGAAGCAGCTTCCTCCCGAGTTTCATCACTTTCCTCTTAAACACCTGGAGAGACAAGAGAGCTGTTCAGTTCAGTTGAGTCAGGTCAGTTCAGTTCCTGCTATCTCTCTCAGAATTACCTTCTTGATCCAAACCAGTCAGGTTTCAAGACTGGTCATTCAACTGAGACTGCTCTTCTCTGTGTCACGGAGGCTCTCCGCACTGCTAAAGCTAACTCTTTCTCCTCTGCTCTTATCCTTCTAGACCTATCCGCTGCCTTTGATACTGTGAACCATCAGAACCTCCTCTCCACCCTCTCCGAGTTAGGCATCTCCGGCGCTGCTCACTCTTGGATTGCGTCCTACCTGACAGGTCGCTCCTACCAAGTGGCGTGGCGAGAATCTGTCTCCGCACCACGTGCTCTCACCACTGGTGTCCCCCAGGGCTCAGTTCTAGGCCCTCTTCTATTCTCTCTATACACCAAGTCACTTGGCTCTGTCATATCCTCACATGGTCTCTCCTATCATTGCTACGCAGACGACTCACAATTAATTTTCTCCTTTCCCCCTTCTGATAACCAGGTGGAGAATCGCATCTCTGCATGTCTGGCAGACATGTCAGTGTAGATGTCGGATCATCACCTCAAGCTGAACCTCGGCAAGACGGAGCTGCTCTTCTTCTCGGGGAAGGACTGCCCGCTCCATGATCTCGCCATCACGGTTGACAACTCCATTGTGTCCTCCTCCCAGAGTGCAAAGAACCTTGGCGTGACCCTGGACAACACCCTGTCGTTCTCCGCTAACATCAAAACGGTGACCCGATCCTGCAGGTTCATGCTCTACAACATTCGCAGAGTACGACCCTACCTTACACAGAAAGTGGCACAGGTCCTAATCCAGGCACTTGTCATCTCCCGTCTGGATTACTGCAACTCGCTGTTGGCTGGGCTCCCTGCCTGTGCCATTAAACCCCTACAACTTATCCAGAACGCTGCAGCCCGTCTGGTGTTCAACCTTCCCAAAATCTCTCATGTCACACTGCTCCTCCACACACTCCACTGGCTTCCAGTTGAGGCTCGCATCTACTACAAGACCATGGTGCTTGCCTACGGAGCTGTGAGGGGAACGGCACCTCCTTACCTTCAGGCTCTGATCAGACCCTACACCCAAACGAGGGCACTACGTTCATCCACCTCTGGCCTGCTAGCCACCCTACCTCTACGGAAGCACAGTTCCCGCTCAGCCCAGTCAAAGCTATTCGCTGCTCTGGCACCCCAATGGTGGCACTTGAAACCCTACCTCTTTAAGGAATACCTGGAATAGTATAAAAGTAATCCTTCTACCCCCCCCCCCCCTCCCCCACCCTATGGCTATCATAAGTTGAATGCACCAATTTGTAAGTCGCTCTGGATAAGAGCGTCTGCTAAATGACGTAAATGTAAATGTAATAGATATGGGACAGCTCTCTGCTATCCCTCTTCTCAGTGTCTGTCTGGTTGCGGTGGGGTTTGTCAAGGAACAAGGGGGATGATGTTGTAGTCTTCGTTGTAGTTCACCCTTTGTCTTCCTCAAGAAGTGTATCCAAGCAGACTGCATCAAACTCTTCTTCTATGGTGAAACCACATTTTCTGTTTATTACATTTCAGTTAGTTTGAATAGGCCACCGGTTATTATAGCAAAGGTGTCCCATTTTATTGTTTCTTGACCTGTCTAATTACTCTCCTTCTATCCAGGTGGACCAGATACGTAGTATCTCATGATGCACAACATGTATAAATCCACAGCCTTCAGCTCACAAAATATGCCATGCAGCTAAATTTAAAAAATAATCTGCCAAAGCTCAAAACTGGAGTCAAAGAGGCTCTTGGGACACAGTGAGCCTGAAGCAGACTGGTCTATACATACATATTGTCCTCCAACATTCAAACCTGGGGCTTTATGAGTACAGTATCTCAGAGTAAGAGTGCTGATCTAGGATCAGGTCCCTGCTGTCCATGTTATCTTATTCATTGTGATCTAAAAAGGCAAAACTGATCCTAAATCAGCACTCCTACTCTGAGAAACTGTATACATCCGGCCCTAGGTTTTAAGCCACTGTGTAATTTAAAGCAGACAACCGGGCCCTAAAACGTTCTTCTTATTAATGACTTCCTAGGCTGTTTTTTTTTATCCTCTTCCTATGCAATGGAGCAACCACAATGGATTCATTCTGCGACAGAGGCTGTCATCGCATAGGAGAGTTGTGATTTTCCTGTTCCTAGAATGCATTGATCTCTGACAAATTCCAGAACTCAATCAATGTATATCATTTCCGTGGTGTTTGTAGTGTTGATGTGATTCTGTAATCTATCTGCAATCGATGCATTCTAGGATATCTACATCATAACAGAATCAAAGATGTGATGGTGGTTCTCTTTTATTGATTCGTCCACATTCGCAGGCAAGTGGATAGATAGTAATGTCAAAGTGGAAGGACATTTTTAACATTTATAAAACATTTATGAATAATAAAACACTAATATATTTACATTAGATAAGTACTCAACCCCCATATATTGACATGTTATAAAAAACCTTTGGCAGCGATTACAGCTGTGCGTCTTGGGGTAAGTCTCTAAGAGCTTTGCACACCTGGATTGTACAATATTTCCCCATTATTCTTAAAAACATTCTTCAAGCTCTGTCAAGTTGGTTGTTGATCATTGCTAGACAGCCAT